TCCCACTTGTTCTACACGAGGAAATGAATGGAGAGACTTAGTGTCGGTTTTAACCGACGCTGTTGTTCTTTTTTATTTTATATTATTTTGCTTCTTGGTGGCGGATTAAGGGGATTAACCAACGTCAATACCCTTTTCGTGACGCTAGCAACAACATCGGTTCTCCAATCCGACATTGCACGATTTGATGTCAGATTTTTGGTAAAAATAAGACAGTAATTGGGGTTTCTAGTCGGTTTTTCCACCGTCAGTGATAGTCTTTTTTGTAGTAGTGTGATTAGGTAAATGTTTTGAAAATTGATACCAATAGTGGTTTGTAATAATATCAACTAAAAGAGCTTGGTTTGCTCAATCATAGAACATATAGGCAGGCACAAAGTGGAGAGGTTACAACGGGATGGGCTACATTTGGAGTGTTATCCTGCAAGTAAGCCAGTTCCTACTGAAAAATATCCATACTACAAATATTTATCGCCATGCTAAAATTTGATAACTAAAACATGTGATGTGAACACCTGCATCATATTTTGTATAGGCATTGAATGGCAACAAACATATTAAAAGGGTGATCCAAAGCCAACAAGGTGTTGGATTTTTGGATCGCCGGAGCCGCCCCACTCTAACAACACTGATATTGTTCCTAACTTTACCACCTGCCAAATTTGTCAGGTGTGGGGTTTTACTACAAAAGGCCTTAGTATTAGTTAGAGTGGGGTAATCATATTTAAACCCTTTTGGTTTTCTTGCACCCACCGATGTGGGACTTTAACACTCCCCCTCATTTGTAACCCCATTTAGTGTTTCACACATGGAGATCCATACAGGTAATTGAAACTCAGAGGTCGGCTCATGTTGGGGCCACTTATTTTCAATGGAACTCAGTGGTCGTCTCTATGTTAAGAGTTCATATTTGTTTCCTTCTTTGTGACAAGCTCATTGGCTTGCACGGGCCCGAACCGTGGGCTCTGATACCATGTTGGATTATCGTCGGGCCCGCCTCACTCTAACGACACTGATATTGTCCTTAACTTTACCACTGCCAAATCCGTCAAGTGTGGGGTTTTATCACAAAAGACATCGGTATTAGTTAGAGTGAGGTGATCATATTTAAACCCATTTGGTTTTCTTGCACCCACCGATGTGGGACTTTAACACAAGGTTCCTCACTTTGCGAGGACGGTGGAGAAAAGGTCTTGTTCAAGGCAAACAGGATGACCCCTCACACAGCTCCCCAATGGTGGATGGCACTTTAGGTTTTGTAGTCGGGCATGCTCTTACTGTTTGATATGCTGCAAGATAAGTTTAAAGTTAATTTGAAAGGTGCCTTAGTGGGGCCTTAGGTGTAGGCCTTGAGGCTCGTAATTAAAACTAACAATGTGCTAGACGTGTCACCGCTATCTAAGTATAACCGATGTAGAATAAGTGTGTTATAAGTCGATTACTTGCACCCCAAGTTACTTAAACTTCTTGTTATCAAAGGATTGTCACAGATGGGTTATGTTTGCATTGAGTTCTTTTTCTTGCCTTGTAAACAATGACTTTTAGTTCATAATCTTGTATGTTTGAAATTAAGGAAGTTCAAGGCCTTTTGCACCATTTCCTCGATCTCAGTTTGTTCTTAATAAAAAGAAGTCTATTAAATTAATCAGATCCGATTGCAAATAGGACTATTAGGTAGAAAACTGTTGGAAAAAAACTTGAATACATGCTGAAAAGTACATTTAAGCGACAGATCTATTAAGCTAAAGTACAAACAAAGAGACTCGGGCAAGATTTCACCTTGTCGGGCAAGATTGAACTTCTTGCAGCCACTTCTCTTTGAATTTACAGAGGTTGTATGCTAGAAGGATGGATGGTAAATAGGTTTTATACAAAGGGATCGATACTACAACACTAGGGAAGGTAGCAGAGCTTTTACACTAGACAAAAGATGACTTTTCTAAGGGAATTATTGCTAAAAGGACTGAATCTAGGTGAGTTTTAGCTTTCTGGATGCAAATCTAGCTTGAGAGCAGAGTTTGTATGTTGTTTGTTTGATTGGTTGAGTGTCCTTGTCTCTGATGTCTCTTTCCCATTTTATAAGCGATTTGGCCCGACTGCTTTAGCTTTGTTCTTGGCCGAAGGTCCTTAGGGGTAGTGAGTCATCTTGTATTTACACCTTTATGCCATCAAAAAGTGCTTTTTGGCTGATAGTGAGCTGGTCTCTGTCATTTGTCACTTCAGTCATAGGCACATGGCTTATGCCTTGTGATAAACTCATATTTTTATATATTTTACATCAAATTCATTTGTCTTTTCTTAGTTAGTTCCTTATATTTTTGAGCTATTTACTTTGTTTTTGTGTTTTGTGGGATTTGTCAAGCAAAGAAAGGAAAAATAACACAAGTGGGATTTTAAGTAACAAATTCGTCAAAACTGCATGTGTAGATCAGCTGACTTTGGAAGCAATTTGCAAACAGCTCAGAATTAATTAGAGAATGAGCCTTATATGCTTGGAAAGCTACGGATGTCTATTTTCTGGAGTATTTCACGGATTGTTAATATCATTTTTCTAGAAGAAGTTATGGTCGTTTTAACACGGAAAGGTTACCAAGAGGCCGAGCAGTTTGTAATTGCAATGAAAGCAGTAAACATAATAAATCTAGCAGCCAAAACTGATGCAGCCAAGAACAAGTTAGCTGACACTTATTCAAATATAAAAGGGAGTGAAATTAAAGATGAGGATTAAGAGGGAGTAATTGGCATAAATGCTACCCAAAGAGTTACAATTGTTTTACCATTTCCTCTCACTTATTGTCATCACTAAATGGCTATTAGTGGGTGAGTTAAGGAGAAAAAAAATATAGAACAGAAGGAAAAGGCAAGGTAGCAACGTTGGGGAATGAAGGAAAGGAAGGAGGAGGCCTCGGTCGATTTCTTTCGGTTCTATCTTCTCAAACTCGTGTCTATCTTTTGTTTTAACTTAGGAATTGTGTGTAACTAAATTTTTAGTAGTTAGGGGTTGTTTTCAAGCCCCGAATATGATTGTAAGTTTGTTATGACATTTTGTTTGAATTACTTTTATGAATGGATGAAAATCGGTTCACTACTTGTCTCATTGATGAATTCTTTATTTGTTTTCTATGGATGCATACTTAGTAAGCATATCTAGGATTCTAATGCTATGAATATGTGTGTGCTTGCCCTTGTCGAATGAGGACCTACATATGTTATAAAGTAGTACTTGTTAATTGCGATTAACGTGTGAACTAATTTCTATGATATGTAAGACAACGCCAGTACTTACGATGCCTTGTGATGACTCAAACTCTTTTTGTTCTTAATGATTTCTACTTGTTAAATCTATGAACACGTCATTCTCGATTGCATGCTAGGGACTAAGTTAAGTTGAAAACGCCATTCTCTTAACATACTACATAAGAAAGAGTAATAGGTTGAGTTTTAACATTGAGCCAACTTGAGTATCTTCATCCAGAAATAAAAGAAATTTGAATGAAACATAACATGTTTGCATGATTATTTTGTGGTGGATAGCAATTCCCCTAACTCGTTTTTATTAATTTGTGAACTACTTAAAAATCTGTTTCTGTTCTATTTTTGTTTGATTTAATTTAAATAGAAAATCAACTCCAAAAATCCCAAAACTTTGTACGAGTGTATCTCTCTGTGTCTAGTGTCTGCATATAAAATTTTGTAGACTTTAGATAAGTGTAAGTCAGTCTAATAATTATTTTTCGGTGGCTGGTCAGTAGGGACATCAGCCCAATTTTTGTGACATATTAAGGAGTTAGATAAAACAATCTTCTATGGGAAAGACTCTTATTTTCATATGCTACAATTGACAAATCTTAGTGTTAATAAGGAAAATCAATAGGACATTTGTATGCTACTTTGTGGTGTGCTTTTAATCCTAGCACCTTGGCTGAGAAGGCTTCACTTTATTTCAGGCTTTATTGATGGGCTTCGGGCAAGTCCACATTCCGTTGTGACATCTTTGGGCCTCAATACATTAAGTCCAGTGTTAAATATTAACCCAAACAAATCTATCATACACATCCTTATATATCAATCCAGTATAGCCTTATTTTTATAGCTAAAGTTGATGTTTAAGCAATCTGTCTCGGATCAGATTCACTGCTTCATCGACATTGTTTTGTTGTGGAGGGTTTATTTACAAGACTAGAGTTGAACAGAAGGTAGGCCTTATTTCTTTGGCTTCAATATCTTTGATGGTTTTTTAATTCTAATTTGTCATCATAGGCTCAATTGGTATGTCCTCAGTTATATGTTTAATATTTACGCTTGATCACATGCAGCGTGGGATAGAAGCATGTCGGGCATGACAAATTCTATCTGCTTGTTCAGAAACTGTAACACTCCATTTGGATGTGGTAAAATAAAACAGAATTTGACTTAAACTAGGGAATTTAGGATGGGAAAGCAGTTTTCCCTCGTTTGGGAACCTTGCAGCGCGAGAAACGGCAAATTCTACGGGAAAAAAAGGTGGAAATTAGGGATGAAGAATTCCGAGTTTAATTTCCGCCTAAAGAGGTGTAATTTCACAATTCCAACAACGATGAGAATCCCGAATTCATCCGCGGGGAGATTTTGTGCGCGCCAAACTTCAGGATTAGGGCGCCAAACTCGGATATCTACCGCCAAATTTCACAACAAAAGGGCTGCACAATCTTCACTCTGTTAACTCTCCAATCTTCGAAGGGATTTTCGATTGTGGAATCATCTTCTTCCTTTGTTCTAGGTCAGCGTCTCTACTCTCTTCTATCTTGAATTATTTTTAGCTTTTTGGGTACGATCTTCCTGTAAGCATCATGTATTTCTGGTTTCATTCCATCCCTATCTGGGTGCGATCATGTATTTTAGGCTGCGATCTTATTACTGTAAGCATCATGTATTTTTGGGTGCTATCTTATCTAGGAAGGGTGAATTGTCCGATTGAATTGCCATTTGGGTGTGATCTTATTATGTTTTATTTCTCCGATTGAATTGTCTATTTGCTCTGTAACCTTATCTAGGAAGGGTGGAATGATTTGCTCATAATTTAAAATGGTAGTAAATGATGTATGCTAAGTGTTGAAATTAAAAAGCACTAACACTACTGGATTAATTGCAATATTAAACCAGATTAATTGAATATCTGATATGTTAGCAATATCAATTTCTTCTTGAAATGTAAGAGACAGAATAGACAAGCCTCACGAGGGTATCCTTAATCGTACACCAACTTCTAGATAGTTCCATTGTATGTAAGAGACTCGAAGATTTCTGGCTTGTACTGTGCCAATGTGTAATCCATATCAAATCCTTCTGCAACAATATTCTTCATATTCAACGATCTGTTGTAGAAGATCTGCTTTCTTATGTCAATTTTACATCCTCTTTGGGGAGATGACCATACACATGGTTTTTGACCACCATCAATTGAGCCCATTTTTAGTTTTTGATGGCCTTTGGTGTTAGTTCCTTGTTATAGATATTGTGCTTTTGAAGGTTAACTGTCAAAAAACTAAAATACAGATGCTAGTATGATTAAAGTCGTGACTTTCATTGCTGCATTTAGCAATATAAATAAGTGTTGGATTGGTATAGTCCTACTGGGATTCAGAGATCCCATCTATATCAAATATATAAGTTTACGATGATCACATTAACAATAGCCAAGATTGATCAAATGTTGTGCCTTTGGTGTTAGTTCATTTGTTTTTTTGGTTGCATCACCTCATTCTTGCCTAAAAAACCTTGTGTGTTTACATTCATATATCACAATATATCTTTGTTCATACATTCAAACAGGTATGGAAAATACTCATATTGTAGACATGCTAATGAGGTTAAAGTGAAAGCGTGCTATAAATGAAGAGGAAAATAGGAAAAAAAGGAAAATTATTGTCAGCACAATTATATATGTTATTGTCATGGTCATGCATTGGTATAGTACGAGTGTTCTTCTCAAAGAACCTTCAAATGATTGGGATCAAGAAAGGCAATCTTTCCTTGGCCGATTGTTCGATGGAAAGGATTCAACGTGCATTGAACAATTACGAGTTAGCAAGAGTGCATTTAAGCAGTTATGTGAAATTTTACAAGGGATTGGTGGATTAGTTCGCACGAGAAATGTGTCCATTGAAGAATCTGTTGCAATTTTTTTGAATATACTTGCCCACAACTTGAAGTTTAGAGTCATCGGTTTTCATTATTATCGTTCCAAGGAAACAATTAGTCGGCAATTTCACAATGTGTTGCATGCAATGATGAAAATAAGTCAAGAATATGTGAAATATCAGCCATGTGTTATTCAAGAATATGTGAAATATCAGCCATGTGTTATTGGCAATTCTGAAAGAGAGAAGTGGCGGTGGTTTGAGGTAATCAATCAACAACTATACCAAATAAATGTCTTCGTTTGATATCTTCATTAGCTTTTTAGACTTATCTTTTCTTTTCTTTTTTCATTTGTATGACATTTTTTTTAGAATTGTCTTGGAGCACTTGATGGAACTCTCATACCAGTAACAATAACGGCTGAGGAAAGACCAAGATATCGAGATAGAAAGGGTGATATATCCACTAATATGTTAGGAGTTTGTGGTCCAGATTTAAGATTTTTTTATGTGTTACCTGGATGGGAAGGCTCTGCATCTGATGCTCGTGTTTTGCGTGATGCTTTACATAGGAGTAACCGGTTTCATGTTCCAAATGGTAATGTATGATACCAATTAGCTTTATATTAGAAAGAAAAAACTTAAAAATATATCTAAATTTGTTCTCTAAATTTTTTATTGTAGATAAATATTATCTTGTGGACGCTGGCTATACTAATGGACCCGGGTTTTTAGCACCTTACCGTGGAACTAGATATCACTTGAAAGAATGGGTTGGAAACCGTCGACCTGAAAACTACAAAGAACTATATAATTTGCGTCATTCAAGGGCAAGGAATGTTATTGAGAGGGCATTTGGATTGTTAAAAAAGAGATGGAGCATATTACGCACACCATCCTTTTTCGACATTAAAACACAAGTTAGGATTATAAATGCATGTTGTGTCTTACATAATTTTATTAGAACCGAGCAAGCTACTGATCCAGTTTTAGAAGCTCAAGATTTACAATTTTTAGCATCTGTCGACTCAGAGTTGTTAAATCGTTCAACAAGAGAGGAAAATGAAAATAACTCTGATGGGATTACATCTGTTCAAGCTACAGTCGAATGGACAGCATTTCGTGATACATTGGCATTGCAGATAACATTCGAAATCGTGTGAAGTCTTGGAAAAAGTTTTATGCAATAGTGAGTGATATACTAAGTCAAAGTGGATTTAATTGGGATGCAACCAAAAAGATGATAAGTGTAGATGAAGACCCTGCCTGGCAAGAGTACGTGAAGGTAACAAATTCATTATTTTTCTTTTGTGTGTGAAATTCTTTTAATTGTTGCTTTTTGATCTTTTATGTTTTGATTGGTAGTCACATGTTGGTGCTAAAAGCTTTCGTTGGAAGGTCATTCCAAATTGGGATGATATAGTGGATTTATGTGGCAAAGATAGAGCGACGGGTGAGGGTGCTGAAACAGGTGTAGAAGCCGTGGAGATTATGACTCCTCCACATAATGAACCTGATCATGTAGATTTGGTTGGTGATGCACAAGGTTTAGAAGATATTGAAATTATTAATGAGATTTCACCTAGTTCAACCAATGGTCAAAAGACTCAAAGCAAGAGAAAGGCAGCAAGTTTTGTTGATGTGCCTCATACAAAAAGAAAATCAACCACGCCTAAAGATGTGATTGCAGATTCACTTGCCAAGATGGCTTCATCATTTCAAGACTATATTTCTGCAGACACAAAGAAACTTGATCCAACAGAGGTATATGATGAAGTAAATGCAATACTAGATCTCAGTGAAGAAGAACAAATCAAAGCATGTGCTTGGTTGATCGAAAATGACAAGCAATTTCTCATGTTGAAGACTCTCCCAATTGAGAAGAAAAAGAATATGGTATTATTGCTTACTTCACAAGGCGCATAAGATTGTTTTCATTATGTTTCTCATTTTAGTGTTTTTCAGTAAGACATTAGTTAGAATAAAAGTCTTGCATGTCACGAATGTTGGTTGATATTTGCAAGTGTGCTTTACAGGGATTTTCCTACTTCAATCAACTTTTATCATATTATTGCAAACATTTTTTTCCAATGAAATATTATTGCAAACCTTTGATAAGTTCTTAATTGCTGGAAAATTTAGACAGTTTTCCCTTTAGTGCGGGTTTGGCAGCCCCAATCTTGGGGGTTTGATGACCTTTATCATTGATGACTTTGTTAACAGTTTAACATTTTTCTTTTTTCAAATTTGTATTCTTCTATGGAATACAAATTCTAGGGAATATCCAAACAATGAAAATTGTAATTCCCTTCATTTTGCAATTTCCATGTATCCAACATCCAAACACTGAAATTTCAATTAACATGATTTCAATTACTGGGAATTGTAATTCCCGTCATTTAGAATTCTATGAAAATTTAGAAATTCTCCATCCAAACATAGTGTAAGTATACATCACTAGCATTAATGTTGTACGCCTTGGACATAGCAAATGACTAATGATTGGTTGCCTTATGATTTATGCGCATGAGAGGCTAATGAATTTAAACTACATATGTGGCCAAAATATAATATCATGCTCGTTTGAAAGTGTTTTTTAAATAACTGAAAACATTTTTAGTTAAAATGATTTGGGGACCAATCCTTACTAAAAATGTAAGTGAATGAAGCACTTTAAGTGCTTTTCGAACCTAAAAACATTTTCATTAAATGTGTTTTTAGTCATTTTAAAAGCACTTCCAAACGAACTCATTATTTAATCAACAATATTCTTATGATGAGTACTCTTTGCTTTCTTAAAAAGAAAAGCGGACTAGAGGCTCAACCATAAGCCCCGGGGGAACTGGAGCATGTTGGGCACCATTCCTTATGTAAACGTATAGGTTTTATAAGGGCAATCATAATGATTTTTTCTGATTGTTAAGACGGCAATTTCCCTGCATTGTCCTAGAACATTTTTTCTTAGACTCGAATTCTTAGGAACAAATAGATCCTGCAATGAAAGAAGATATGGTGCAATTTGTACCTGTATAACACACAAAGGTTTAGAAGTTTCACCGCAAAATGTTTGTCTTTCAACGAGATCAAATTTTCATTGCACGGTGATATTGTGATTCAAACGAATTCATTTCATATCATGTTTTTTTTTAATTAACGATTATCGTTTATGAGCTTTGAAATTAGAATCTTCTTTAACAAAGTAAAAATTGAATGCGACTAGACCAAATACTCATACGCTTGTTCGTTAATATGTCAAGTGCAATGTTAGGGAGGATGCTTATAGAAGTAGTTCTCCTACCCAGCCTACGATATCTTTATTATAGATTGGACCGTCCAGATTAACCTAATATTCCCGTTATCATATTCTTTGGATTAACCAACTTTTCTAATATGTCACTGTATTCTTTGGATTAATCCTCAAGTCAAAAAGCCACGAGCATATAAGCTTCATGATTAACGGAAAAATTTAATGATTAACCAACTAATGGAATCAATGTGAACTCATGAATTAGTAAGGAAGGCAAGCAAACAATAATACAAGACATGTATACTAGGTTTTTTTTTTCCCCCCCTTGATACAAGCATATTCGGGAAGCCGGAACTTGGGCATTTTTTACACAGGCGGAACTAGTTCGGGATCAGGTGAAACTAAATGCATGGAGTTCCTCGTTTTTGCTCAGAATACTTATGAATGATGTGATCGAACACCAATATTGAAGTATTCTCATTTTGAAAATATAAAAGATGCCAATCTCCTAATGAAGTGAAAGAGGCTTTAATGTTTCTTTATAATGATTACATGTCAATCTAGTTGGATTTCGGATTCTAAATATAAAATACCGTGTGGTATAACCAGTTCATGTATTACGGTATCATGAATATTTGATTGACACTGTAGCCATTCAACTCTAAAGAACCGTGGTTAGTTTATATTGTGACACGTAGATTAATTATACCACGTGATTGTATTCAAGTATTACGTTGAAATTTTTTCAAGATCTGATGGTCTTGCAATCAATTAGTGTACCAAAATATTGTACTAAGGATGCAAGGTCCATTGTACTAATAAATTTCTATAAGGTTCATTGTACTAATATATTTTCTCTGTCTGGCAGTTTTGCATTGTGAGTAAAAAAGATTTGTTCCTCTAGAACAAGATAAGACCTTCTAACTAATTATCATCTTAATTAGAAACGAAGTTACCATAATTACGATTTAGTTATCTGCTCAAAAGCATGAAAGCTACCAACTCCAACCTTCTCTTTTGATCCTGTCTACTGGTGTAGCAGCTTGCAATAGTAAGCTACCAACTCCATGCAGCTTCTCTCTCACTCTCTCTCTCTCTCTCTCCCTCTCCCCCCCCCCCAAAAAAAAAACGAAGTCTCCTCTATAAATTTCATCAATCCAACCAAAGGATTCATCAAACCAAAGTCTTCAAATTTCAAGTCTTCTTCTCCAAGAAACCACATTATTATATGGCCAACTCTTTGAGCTTCCTTCTAGCTCTTTCTCTTCTTGCATTTTCTCCACTATGTTTCTGTCACAAAACTCCTGGTGGGTATCTCTACCCACAGTTTTATGACCGCTCCTGCCCCAGAGCCAAAGAGATTGTCAAGTCCGTTGTTGCGAAAGCCGTTGCAAGGGAAACCCGAATGGCAGCTTCTTTGCTCAGGCTGCATTTCCATGACTGTTTCGTGAAGGTATACGATCACAAAAAGTGTCTCAGTTGCTTCTAGTTACACGTACATCTATGTGAATGAGGTACTTAAGATTGTGTTGCTACTTGCTACCTATTTTGCAGGGTTGTGATGCATCAATTCTGCTGGACAGCAGCCAGAACGTAATCACCGAAAAGATGTCTGTCCCGAACCAGAATTCAGCGCGAGGGTTCGAAGTGATTGACGAAATCAAGTCTGCATTGGAGAAGGAGTGCCCCAGCACTGTGTCTTGTGCTGACATTTTGGCTCTTGCTGCTAGAGACTCAACTGTTCTGGTAAGTGCTTCTACAAATTTTAGCTTTTTTTGTAAGTTGCATGGCGTGTGACAAAAGCCTAAATTTCTAACATGTGCTGACTGTCAATTGTTGCATAATATTTCAGACTGGAGGGCCGAACTGGGAGGTCCCACTAGGAAGAAGGGATTCAAGAGGAGCAAGTTTGAGT